CACATTAATCAACCGCACGGAAACATTTCACTATATATATATATATATATATATATATATATATATAACCATGATCAAATGCGATCTAGGTTTCTCGTGATAAGTGTGGACTAATTTGATTCATCCATCTAGGATGATCAATGGCTAAAAAATGACAGGTCAATTTTATAAATATTAGTACAAGGGAATCAACTAGGAGATTTCATGCATCTATTTCTTTAATATAACGAAACTAATTTAGAGCAAATATGTTCTTTGTGGAAACTAGTACCAGTAATCCAATTGCACATGAGATACTACCAAAAAAAAAAAAAAAAAAAAAGAAAGAAACGGATAAGCATTGAAGATGTAGACTACTAACAAAGGCCGAGTAGCCGACTACCGGGGGTCGAGTGGCCGACTATCGGGAGCATAGTGGCTGACTACCGGGGCCGTGTGGCTGACTACCGGGGGCCGAGTGGCCGACTACCGGGAGCCGAATGGCCAACCATCTTTCCTCCTTGCTGTTTAACTGTTTAATTTTTGAACGTATTTACTCTATTTAAAGGGTAGGCAAGATAACTTTTTAGATCGAACTAATGGTTTTATTGTAATACTATAATAGTCAATCGTACATGGTTGCTAACTATATGGGTTTATTTTATTTGCTATTGATAGAATTTCTTGAACCACCTTGAATTCCAAATGCGCTCAATTGGTTTCCCCTCCATTGGTTTGGATTCGCAAATCTCGTCCTCCGATTTGTCGACAGGCCTGGAGGTAGCAAGATGTGGCCATATGGCGATCCTCACTCCCTCTAGTATCCGAACTTTTAGGGAGAGATGTTCAAGTGATATTACCGCTCATAAGTCCTCTATGCCAAGTTGCTCGAGGATTACATTATGTGAGGATTTTATCTTGATGACCACAAATTCCATGTCTAGTACCCGCAGCTTGCGGTATTGTCTTATCTCAATAGGTAAGGTAATACATCCCTCAGCTTCTATACTATTCCTGGTGAATCCAACGAGTAGGGTCCTAACCGGCTGTAACTGCTCCCTAACAAGTTTTAATTTGTTGTATGTCTCAAGGTACATGACATTTATGTTGCTACCAGTGTCCACGAATACCCTTCGGACAACAATCTCATTGATATCCATTGCTATTAGCCCTGGTTTGGTACTGGGCCGCTGGGGAGGTCTTCATTAGTAAAGGTGATTATTTCCATCTGGCCCCCTTTTTTGCGCGACTCTGTGCTGTATTGCCCCTGCATATAACCGTCTAGCCCACCGTTTTCTTTCCACAGGAGCTATCCCCTCCTGCCGGGCCCCCATAAATTAAGTTGATTACGAGCTTGTGTTTCCAATTATGCTCTTCATGTTTCGCACGGTCATCATCTCGTTGATTGGGATTTTCTGAAGGGGGTTTTGTCCTTGGGTTGACAAGGGTGGGATCCTCGATTTAGAGCCATGGTGGCCGTGGCCATTGATTGGGGAGAGTGGTCGATCGCCCTCTTTGGATGAAACCTTCGATCTCCTTTTGCAGAGTGGTGCATTATTCACGACAATATTTAGGCTCCCTAGTGGTTAGTTGGACGCATTGCAAGCGGTTACCTAAATGTAAGGAAGGTGGCGGTGGCAGGTCCGCTGTTTATGTGGGGCGTGGTGGTCGTATCTCATACACTAGTCGAGACCCAAGTACAGGGACCGATCTGTAATGGAGGTTGGTCGGTCCTCTGTCGATACCTGGTCCATTTTCCATTTTGCGTATTTGTTGGTCCATTGAATATATAGCTTGGTGTAAGTTTTAGGGGTCTCCCTCCGCAGGCTAGCGAACAAGTCTCCTGATCTTAAAGCTCCATGAACAATGTTAAGGCCGTTTGGTCATCTAGTTCCTCCACTATCTTTTACCTCTTTTTGCTACCATTCAAGAATTCTTTCAACATTTCTATCTCCCGTTGTTGTACGGAAGCTAAGGCCATAAGTGCTTCTTAGCCTTCATGCTTCCTGCAAAGTGTGTCATGAACTGCTCGGCCAAGGTCTCAAAGTAGATGATCGATTAAGGTGGCAATGACTAGAACCAATGTTGCGCTGCCCCCACACCCCCCAAGTGTTAAAAAAAAAAAAAAAAAAAAGGCGCGACAATACATGGGGTCCTCCACCCCTATTATCATCATCTTTGTTTAGAAACCGACCAGGTGATTACCGACAAGGTAATCACTGGGTCATATGTCCCATCATACGTAAGCATTGTTGGGAACTTAAAGTCCCTTGGCACGCGATACTATTGAATTTCCTCGGAGAATGGGCTGGGAGACAACAAAGACCATGCAGTCGGCCAGTCCTTTCCACTCTCAACTTCCGCTAGAGGTCATTTACTTCTTTAGCTAGCTCCGCAACCTCTTGGTCTTGGTTTTCTCTATCGGGTCCTTGGGTCTCACCACAGCTTTCAGCCATTCCCTCCGAAAACCCTCTTTATTATATTCCTCATCTGCTTGCGGTTCTCACGTTCAAAGTCTAGCTGCCCGAGCTGCCTTCGCTTGTCGCTGAGGATTGAGTAGGGCTTTTTGCCGCGAGATCTTATCTTCCAGGTTATCTTGCCTTAACCGTTCAGTGACAGGTAGTTGACTTCGGGGATCTAGGGGGTCGAGGACTGAATTTGCAAGATGATGTTTCCTGGGTAGACCAAATCCCTGTGTTTTCTCAAGCGATCAGTCTTGGTCATCTGCTTTTCGTGGGTGGTCCTGTCTAGAGGGGTCTGGTCGGGACTCGCCTCTTTGTATGTAGTCACATTGTAGGGCCTCGAGGAGACGCTCAGTGACCTTTAGCACGGCAAGATGGGGTCTGACACGGTTGGGTTTGGGGAATGCCAGTGACTGGCCGTATAGTTGAACAAACCTCCTCTTCCTCCAGGGAGTTCTCTAGATCATTTCCTTGTGCGGGTACAGACCGACGAGACATTGTGCGAGAGGCAGGTCGACTGAGTGTTTCCCGCACAACTCGGACTGACCGATTAGTTTGAGTATGTTGTCGTGTAGTCACCATGATCTAGGGTTTTAGGATTTGTATCTCAGGTTTGAGGAACAAATGTAAGTTTTCGTGTTGATCCCACAGACGACGCCAGTGTTGGTTTTATGACTTTTGGGCAATCAACGACTGACCAACACAATGGTTAAAATAACGAATATATGAGAATATAGAGAGAATGTGAGTATTATATTTTTGAATATTGCTTGTGAGTAGTAAAAATTGCTTGATTGTTTTCATATATTGGGGGTATTTATATATATTATGGGCTCGGAGCCCTACCAGGAATAAAAGTCTTATGTTGTTTCCTATTGGGAGTCATAATTATATTGAAAGTAGTGGGACCAATACAAGATAGGCTCAATCCTTGGTATCTTATGAATAATAGGTCTAATCCTATTGAAACTCCTTCACTGTCTCGTATTGGCCTCCTCTTAGGCTTCCTTGGTCTAGATATTTTCTTGGACCGATCCATTTATTCAATCTGGTACACCATCCATCAGATTCCTCTAGAGTTGGGAAACTTGTCGAGCCTTCAAGTGTTTTTTTGGTTGGGCGAATTGGTTCCCTTTAGCTTTGCCATCCCCCGTATATAAGTGAAAGAGATTTATCTCGATAATATGATTTTTTTTCCATTCTCTATCTTTTGGTATATTTTTAACATTTAATTTGTAAAAAAATGCATACTCATTCTTCTAATGCTATTCATGTTTGCAACTCGTACAACAAAGCCAACACCTTTAATAAATCCGATATAATTATATATGAAACTAAAACAACAATCACTCAAAAATAACAATAATATTGTTAACATATTTTAGATTCAAATATGTTCTTTTTTACAAACTAGCATCAGTCACTCAATTGCACATGAGGCACTAAGAACAAAAAAGAAGCGGACAAACAATAAAGACAAAGAAAATGACAAACCAATCCAAAATGAATTAACAACACTTAATTTCAACCAAAAATAGTATCTACTACCTAATACCATACCAACTACAATAGATATTTAGATAATTGTTTTTAGAAAAGTGCAAACATTAATTTTAATACCAACTACAATTAACTTCTATATAATTTTGCATTGATATACTTTAAATTACTTATTTAAATACAAACATTACGCATTAAATCAATCGCGCAATGCGCGTGTATATATATATATATATATATATATATATATATATATATATATATATATATATATATATATAGAAGTCGGTTCTGGTGCGGGTGGGCGCGAGTGTGAAGTTTAATCTGAGCCATTGACCTTGTTTAGATTAACATCCAGGATTACCAAATTTAAAAAAAAAAAAAAAAAAAAAACGGTGGCAATTTGGTAATGCGCGTGTATATATATATATATATATATATATATATATATATATATATATATATATATATATATATATATATGTTCTCATGTTTTCACCTAAGCACATGTTCTCACTGGAATCCTACCATATATAGGTCAGGTCTTCCCGTACGGTCAGTGCGGCATACACCATTAGGTATGCATAAATGCACCATACAGTGTTTGAAAATACACCAGAATGAAATGTCAAAAAATACACCACACAAATAAAAAATACACCACACATAATGGTGTTTTCTTGAAGATACAAAAGAAACACGACATATTTGGAGCTAGAGTAGTCTTCTCATATTTCATTTTGAGAGCACTTCTATTATCCCTCAGTATATTATATTTCCTTTACAATTAGATCTCAATACACACATACTATTATACTAATAAAAGAAATAATTATCTATGGCTGACGTAGAGTCTTTATGCATGAAAAGGACTTCAGGTGTAATACTTAAAATTAGAGTTGGTCTAAATAAGGCCTGAAGAGTAAAAATTAGATGTTTACAAACCTACTAATTACTGTCAAGTTAATAAAAAGATATTTATTTAGCATACAAATAGAGAAACCATTTTGGATGCAATATATGTCATAGAAAACAACATAAAGGCCTAAACTATGTAAATGACACTGAATTATGAATAAATTCATGTTTTTAACATTGCTTAATAACTTGACAGCTACTATAAGATTTGATGAGATCAATATGTTGGTATCTACAAGCAATTAAAATACCAAACACATATTCATGTATACATACATTATACATATTGGGCAACTATGTCTCAAACAAATATACAATGATATAAGATTGATACTAGTTAAACATTTAAATGTGGCAGACAAAGTACACAGGCATCAAAGCCTTGTTTCTTTATATTCAATTGCAATTGTCTTCTCTCTCCAAAGTTACTTTCCTTTCTGTCAATATCTATAGACATTGAAAATACCTTTTCCATTCTTTGATATAATGGTCCGTGAATCCCCAACATTTGCAACATATAGATGATTGCCAACTAGAACTGCCGTTGAAGCAGTAGAGCCATCATCTCTGATATGTTTATTTACATACTTTATTCCAAAAAATGTAAGGTAATCATTTACATTCTCATTTATTACGTGTGTATATGATAAATTAGTTAGTCAATCACTAATTAACTAAAAACTTAGTTAACAATAAGAGCTAAAGAAACTACCAATGGCTACTAACTCAAGATTATTTTAAATGGAAGGATGGTTAAAACAGTTCTAACCATCAAATATCCCAAACAAACAAACTGTTTCTCCCTCAATTTTAGAAGTCTTAATATCATAACAATCCTCCATGCTAGCTCTCTTTCCTCTAAAGCTTGAATAACCACAACTCAGTCTTCCATCCTCACTATACAGAAGAAGAGAACAAAAGTGAGCAAAAAAATGTATTACAAGTAGATGGTAATTAACTATACATAACCAAGGGACTAACACTATGGTATGGAACATAGCGTCTGCCATAATAAGAAAACAGTTAAACTAAAAATGTGTTAGGAATAAAGTGTAATGGTTTTGATATGCCAAATATATATTTGTAGATCTCCCAATTTTATTTTATAGGTCTAGTAGAGTCTTAGACCATGATCGGAAAATTATTTAAATTACAAAAGAGAAAAACAGAGGAAGATGCATGAAAATAGAAGAAGAAGATATAAAGCCTAAAATCAAGAATTTGTCTGGAGAAAATGACAAATAGAAGAAGATGATGAATGATATGAAATCATGTCGCTACTACTCAATAAGATATCCCAGGAGAATTTTCGTGAAAGAAAATTAAGATTGGAAGATTGCATGAATTTGACTTGGAGATCAAGCATCTATGGAAAGAAAGGAGTACATCAAAGATGATTGGAGATTTAACCAATAAGCTGTATGGATGAAGTGGAAGATGCCTGATATATTATGTGATGAAATGACTCAAGTTTGAATCTCACTATCAACAATTTTACAAGGTAAAATTTGAGAAGCCAAAATTATGGGATGCAATTTCAAATTGGGGACCGATTCAAAGAAGAGATAAAATCTTGTAAAATTTGAGAAGCCAAAATTAATTAAATCTGATGGAGTTGGGCGCTAGTTTGGCTTTGCGCGTCAATTACAAGTGGAAAATTGGGTGGCAATGGAGTTGGGCGCTAGTTTGGCTTTGGGCGTCAATTACAAATGGAAAATTGGGTGGCAATTGAGGGACCGATTGGCTTTGGGCGTCAATTACAAATGGAAAATTGGGTGGCAATTGAGGGACCGATTCAAAGAAGAGATAAAATTGAGATGAAATTCAGTACCAGGAGAAGTCTGGGAGCCAATTTCGAAGTCAAAGTCAAATAATTCAAATTGGGAGTCAAAGTCAAATAATTCAAATTGGGAGTCAAAGTCAAATAATTCAAATTGGGAAGCAATTGAAGCACCAGGAGTAGATTGGGAGCCAATTACAAGTCAAAGTCAATTGGGTGCCAATTACAATGGAGAAATTTAAATTGTCAAAGTCAATGGGTGCCAATTACAATGGAGAAATTCAAATTGGGTGTCAATTAACTACAAGTCAATTGCAATTGGGTGTCAATTACAAAGGAGAAATTCAAATTGGGAGGAAGTTCAAAGCCAGCTTGAAGTCTGAGAACACCCAGACGTGAGAATGAAGAAGATGAAGAAAAAATTACAGTGAAAATATTCTCACAAGGAAAAATACTAGTCTAACTAGTATGAGATTAAATTGAAGAATATTTTTTGAAGTATTTAAATCCGAAGAACCACTTCAGAGCTGATCAGAGAAGCCATTCTACACAAAACTGAAACCCAGATATTTCTAAGAGACGTGAGAAAACCAGAGGAATATCAGATGAAGTTTGGGTACTCATTTGCATGAAGTTGAAGCTCTACCAACGGCTAGCTTATCTCTTCTGACACTTTGCCAGAAGATAAGATAAGATCTCTAACAAAAGATACAAGAATTCAAAAATGAGATCGTTTCTTTCCAACGGACAGATTCTCATTACCAGCTATAAAATGATGAAGATATGAAGACTTGAAGATCACGAGCTCAAAACGAACTAAGGGGAACGAATAGAGCAATAGAGCAAAAATCTCATTTGGTGCAGAGCATACCAAAAGAAATCTTCAAGTGTGAGAAAAGTGAGAAAGAACTCTGAGAGCTTAAAGAGAAATATTCAGAGAGTTCAGAAACAGGGCTAAATAGAGCATAAATATCAAGTGCTTTACTTGATATATTCAAAGCGAGAAAACACTCAGAGCGTTCAAGAGAAATCTTTCCAGAGTGTTACATCTTCATCAAAGAGACCTGCGCATCATTGAAGATCTTCTACAGAGTCTCAGAAGTTGGAAGCAAGACAAAACTTGTCTTGGAGCAAAACAAGAGAAGGGAGGAAAGTAGCACGGAGCTGTGAAATCTTGGATTGTCACACGGAGCTGTGAGATCCGAAGCAGCAGTGTCGGAGGCACTGGGCGTGATTAGTGCGGGCTTTGTGATCAAAGCACTAGATCACTGGATACGTTTCTACCGGAGTGTGGAAGACGGGGGGAAAGTAACGCGGAGTCGTGAAATCCTGGGATAGTAGCGCGGCGACGTGAAACCCGAAGCAGCAGTGTGGTGTCACTGGGCGTGATTAGTGTGGGCTTGGTGATCAAAGCACTAGATCACAGAATTCATTGTATCTTGGAACCAAGAAGTGGTGGATATAGTGAATTGCTCTTGGAGATAAGAGCAAGTGGAGTAGGAGGATTACACCACCTCCGAACCACTATAATTGTCTTGTGTTCTTTACTGCTTTCTTTACTTACTGCTCTTTATTTGCTCTACACGAGATATATAACTCACACAATCTCACACACACTTTATCTTTATTTAATTCCGTTGTGCACCATACTCTAACAATCTAGTTAAGAGTTTTGGTTTATCTCTGGCTTAACAATTGTTGTGCTATGCGAAAAAGCTTGAAAGTCTATTCACCCCCCCCCCCCTCTCTAGACTTTCACCTTACCTCTTTTGGGATCAACAAAATGTCAAATTGATTCATAAAAAATCAGTATCTCCCAAGCTTATAACAAAATCATACTTGCATATCACCTCTTCCATCCTCCACTAAAATAACCGCCATCATCATCCTTCTGTGGCAAAGCATCAAGTTCTGGTTCATGTTTAGCTGTTGAACCAGTATCCACCATCATCTTTATTATTGTTGTAAACCTGTTACCCCAACTAGTTTACTTTGCGCTGCTATTTACATTCAAGAATCCAGGAAGTTTGTTGAACTGTCTTCCCACACTGTATTTCCCTTTATGTCCAGTTTGAATAAATCCAAATCGTCCAGCAGCATGTATGATCACAGACCTCAGGCAGCTATTGCATACCATCTAAGTCAATAACAGCAGTTTTTAGTGCGCCATAGAATGCAATTCTTATTGATGTAACCACCTTCAGATAACCCATTAGTGAAAGGCCAATAGAATGTCAAATTCTGAACAGAAAAGCAAGAAAGCAACAGAGTGTGAAAATTTTAAAAATAATGAAAAAACTGAAGAAAAAAAATAAAAACTACAGCTTTAAGCAACTGAAATCAATTCTAGAAAGAAATGCACGCTCCCACCCCTCTCCTCAATCAATTGTCACATGATACATGAGTGTAAGGTCAATACATTGTCACATTCTAACAAGTAACAAAGTTTGTGAGATAGAAATGATAGTAAAAAAAAAAACATTTAAATCCAAACTATATCAGTACCATTGATCATTCCTTTGACAACATTAAATACACAAATTCCTATTTGCGTCTATAATTTTCACACCAATAACACTACTACCAATAAGAATAATATATTATCTTTGGGGTGATATGCTTGATTTTGTTCTTTTTATCACACTTGCCTTTTAGGCAAAAGTTCATAGCACTGACACCAATGTGAAATTTTTGTTCTCTGTATTCAAAGAGAAAAAACGAAGCTCAAGAAAAACACGGATCCGATCTTACTTTCAAAGCAGTCAACTCCGTGAGCATCAGTTACAAACCCCGAAAAACATATCTGAATCCATGATTAGAAGCTTAAAAAAAATTTTAACAGTGACAATTTTATCAATGATATGCTATAGAAAACGGCAGATCGATCACTTGAAACATGCAAGCTCCGCCTAACAGTAATTGGATCGAGTAGTAAAACCCGAACCAGAAGATCATAGGATATACGAATCGTATACACGATTCAACGCCAGCTTTAAGAAAAAGAAGAAGAGGATATTCATAGAAAAATAAAAAAGCGGAAAAAGATCATTTCACAGAGCCTTCCGCGGCACAAAAGCGAAGAGAATCCCGAACCCTAGAAAGTGAAATTCCAGAAGGAGGGGCGATGATCGTACGTATGAGAGAGTGTGTGTGAAGTGAGAGAAAGACTCACAGAGATACTAGAGAGACGGCTGGCGCTTCAAGGTTGTGATGGAAGAGAGAGTAGCAACGTGGCAGTCCATATGCACCTGAATTTTAGGTAATTATCCGCTGCTCTCTAGGGGGGGGGGGGCAACATAAGATCTTCGCTCCGAGCACGAGATCCGGTGAGTTTAAGTGCAAATAGGAGTAGGACCCCGGATTCTGGCTTCTTGTGACGCTCCGACAATCATACTTTTTTTTTTTTTTTAGAGGGTATTTGGTTGAAAGGAAATAATTAGGGAAAGAGGAATTATAATTTGGTAGGAAAAATAATAAGGTATGAATAAAGTAGGAATTTAAATTGTATTATTTGGTACACAGGTATATAATTACAAGGGATTGAAAGAGAATAAGTTATATAATTATTAAAATACCCTTGTGTACTATAGTGGTTCGGCTATTAACAAAGCATACTCCACTCTTCTTTCACAACTCGTGAAAGGCTTTGAACTATCACTCCTAGTACAAACTAAGTCAAGCTTGCTTCATTGATCACTAAGTGGGACAGCAACTTGCTAAGGTTTTTCAACTCCTCTGAGTTTATTCCGCCTCTATTAACTCCAACAGAGTTGAGTGGTTGGAAAAGGTTGATGGTATCTCTAACTTGAAATCTTGACTTGATGAAGCTTGATCTTCGTATGAACTTGTACAAGATTTCTTGATGTTGCGAAGATTTTGAGAGCTAGATTGTCTTTAAAAATATTCTTCACAAACACACACACTGGCCGTAAATAGCTTGTAACTTTGAGAGTTTTGAAAGATTTGTTAGTAATAGAGTGATGACCAGCACCTTCTTCAAGTGATGAATAAGGGTATTTATAGGTGTGAGAAATCCATCCGTTGGAGGAAGATGAGATTTTAAACCTATTAACCAGTGTGTAATATCCGCTAGGTAAGGAGACTTTAATGCGGCTTGTACCATGTAGCCGTTGGTAGCAAAAACGTGACCTACCTTTTTGTCTTTTAGTACTGACAAAAGTACCAATCATTTAATGCTCCTTGGGATTTAAAATATCATTCCTAGGACACCATTTGTCTAGGATGATTTTCTCAGCTCTGAGACTTGGACATTTTATGCTTCTGAAAACATATAAGACTTGTCTAATCGAGTCAGACTTTGACTCGTAGTCTCGGGTTCTGGTAACGAATGATTGTCCTTATCATTCGTTGTATTCACAGTTCAAATGATCTTTCTTTATCATTTGTCAATTACACGAGAGATAGACTCTTCCAAGTTTCGGTCTAAGTAGATCTCTCGGTCTTTTCTTGATCTTCTATTGATCTTCAACTTGACTTGACTGTCTGAAAGATGCTCTGATTCCTGTAGAGCACAACTGGGCACGAATCATATTGTGAGCAGAAACAACTCACAGAAAGTTTTGTTCTAATCGAAAGAAACTAAGCAACGAGAGTAAAAGATGTGTCTAAATTCTTAGTGAGTTTGGTATCATCAAGATCTAACTACACATGTTCCTAACAAAAACTACTTCCGTCATAAAGACTAACAGAAGTGAAGAGGCAGGCCAGTAAAAGACCAACAAAAGTGAAGGTATTCCAGCTGAAGTGTTGAAGTAGAGCAACCAACAAAGAAGTTTCGAAGACCTAGCAACATATCAGAGTAGAGTAGCGGGAGCAAGTCAGATCAGCTGACCCTAAAGCAACAAATCAGCTGAAGGCTACCAGCAAGAATCAAGAAATATTTTTCATCCAAAGTTCTACACATACAAAGCAGATTCTAGATGAAGTATCTTGAATGCACATGGACATCTCCCAACGAAGGATGAAGTAAAGACAAAAAAGTAGCATGTTTCACTTTTGAATTAACAAAGCATTTGAGGAGAATGGCAAAGTTACACAAATAGACAAGGACGTACAACTGCACAATCATGGAGTTTTTAGCAGCATGGACACCTATCAAATTGGGGTGCAACGAACATATTCCAATAAAGGTTGTTTTACCAACCTACCCCCACCTCTATCTTATAAATAGAGGACTCTTAAGCTCAGGGAAGGCACGGGGGTGCGAGACGTGACGGGAAAAGAAAAAGGAAATCAGTTAGAGAAATTACTACGTGCTAAAAGTTGAGAAGAGAGAACATGAACATTGAAGCTATATCCAGAATCTCTGAAGCTTCCTGTCCATAACCAGTTTGTGAAGAACAAACAACACCTCTATTGCAGTGCTACTATCGTGGTGAAGATCTTGCTCAAGGGGAGTTGGTGGACGATCCTTGGAGTGAAGATCAAGTGTTGAAGATTCGATAGGGATATCCAAGTCGAAGGAACATCACCCTCAATCACAGTACTTTGTGGATAATCTGTGATTGGATCACTTTGTATTTTGGGGCAAAAAATACTTAGTGGAAACTTCATTGGAGTTTAAGGAGAATAGTGAATGTATGCGGAGTTTGCTGAACCACTAAAAATCTCTCTTCCATTTATTTAATTGCTTTACATTTACATATTTACTTATCTTATTTGTGAACGAATCAGCTGATCACACACGATACACTTTCAATTATTTACGCCCCAAAACAACGCTACATAATATAAAATATTTCGCAGCAGACAAATCAGCTCTCAAGCTGATTATACTCTTAGTTTTTGAAATCCAGTTTAAACTTGAAAAATTAGAATTTTTGAAAGTCTATTAGAGGGTGATGCGTGTCACTTTGGTTTAAACCTCTAGTCTAAGAGTTCATGATTCGTTCATTCACAAAATTAGAGGGTACCATGTGTCACTACGTGCCATTTCAAGATTCATTCACTAGCACTTAAGTGTCAAACCTTTACACTTCTTAGAATCTTCATTGACAATCCCATGTATTTGTTGGGGATTGTTGGGTAAAATGCAAGACAAGGAATATTATGTGGTTTTCAATTATTATGAGATTTAGTTTAGATCTAATAATAACCATAAGTTAGTGAGTGGTCGGGATCTATTTTGATAATATGCAGCTTATATCTTCTTGTCTTATATTATTAAAAGGGGAATTGTATTAGTTTAGACATTAGACAAAGATTGTCAGGCTTTTTCTTGTCTCATTATCACTCTGAGTATGATATGTAAGTTCCAACCCCTGCTCTAGGTGCACGGAGATGGGGATTGTTGTTTTAACCTTCGAGAGTGACGTCATTGTTGTGAGCTTGCACCGGTAGTGGCAAAATTGCTTCTATGGCATTGCTTGCCCAGGGCCGCCGCACAGGGCCCCCAAATTTTGGGGGCCCCTTATTTTTAAAAAAATTAGTATTTATATATATCAGCGATCCCAGGCAGCGTAGCAATCAGCATTCAAACAAAGCCAAACCCACAAATTTATTAACCTAACCAACCTAAATTATCTAAGTCCCTAATCTAGGCAGTACGCATCTACCGTACGAATTACGAGGACGGACAGACGAGACACTCACGCCTCACGAGAAATTTCATACTGCAGTCTACAACACAGGTATTTGTCTATTACTCAATTTAAACTAATTCAAATATTTAATGAGTTTTTAATTTGAGTATTTGTGAATTGAGAATTGATGTTTGTTTCCTCAAAAAAAGAATTGTTGTTTGTTAGTTATTTAATTTGAGTTTTTAATTCGTTTCTTGATTAATTATTTATTCATAGAGTTCCTAAATAAATTTTTATTTTCCCTTAGGATTTTATGTCTTCTAGAAAATATTCATCTGGGTTTGAGAAGCGTAAAAAGAAAAGAAAAATTGAGCAACTAACTCAATCTCAAAAGGGAGCTCTTGAAAAATTCATTACAAAAAAAAAAAAAAAAAAAATCAAATAGATGAGCAAAAAGATGAAGCCAAGGAAAAATTGTTAGATTTTAATCTCCATATAGAAGATCACGATGATTGTGAGATTGGAAAAAATCTAAATGATAGTGTGCACAACGATGATAGGTATCACTGTGACAATGAAAATAATAAGAATGTTGATAGTTGTTTAGATGATGTTGGTCACAGTGATAAACCAAATGATTCACTTTTATTTGACATATATGATCCAAGAAATTGAGATGCCCTTGATTCTAAATTAATAGATATTCTTGTGAAAGATGGTCCTAAAAGAGATTTATCAATAAACAAAGGTCCTAAAGATAAATTCTCTAGAAGATTTTCATCAGCATTTTACACAAGATATTTGCCAAATGGAGAGAAGTGTGATCGAGATTGGCTTGTATATTCAAAAGAACTTGACAAGGTGTTTTGTTTTTGTTGCAAGATTTTTTAAAAAGGTATAGGAAAAGGTGTTTTGGTCAATGAAGGTTTTAGGGACTGGACACATCTTGGTGTTAGACTTAAAGAGCATGAAACAAGTGTAGATCATATAACTAATATGACAACTTGGATGGAGTTGCGTCTTAGATTACAAAAAAATGAGATAATTGATAAAGTGGCTCAAGAACAACTTTTGAAAGAAAAAGAATATTGGATGAAAGTACTATTTAGGATTATTGTAGCTGTGAAGTATCTTGCTAAATCGTGATCCTATCATTCAAGAGCATGTTTTACGTGCTAGAAATCGTGATATTCATCATCATTATCTTGGTCATAAGATTCAAAACGAATTGATACTTATGCTTGCTACTGCAGTTAAAACAAAAGTCATTAAAAAAATCAAAGAAGCAAAATATTTTCCAGTGATATTAGATTATACTCCTGATGTCAGTCACCAAGAACAAATGTCTTTGATTTTAAGATGTGTGGATATATCAACATATCCAATTAAAATAGAAGAGTTCTTCTTGGAATTCTTGGTTGTGAATGACACTACTGGCCAAGGTCTTTTTGAAGTATTACAAAATGTGTTGATATCACTTTATCTTGATATAGATAATGTAAGGGGACAAGGTTATGACAATGGGTCAAATATGAGAGGGAGACATCAAGGTGTATAAAAAAAGACTCTTGGATATAAATCGTGGAGCATTTTATACTCCTTGTGGTAGTCATAGTCTTAACTT